CCAATAAAACTGTCAATTTTTGCCATAATCGTAAAGTTTTCTGGTGTCAACAACCAAACTTGCTTTGGAAGATTCATCTAAATTATCAAAGTTCTGACAAGTGCTAGAAATATACTGAAAGAGTTCATCTCTAAAATCATTATAAAATGAACATTCGATTAAGAAGTGACTCTCATCCTCAACTTTATCTGGGACTATGGCTGTGGCTATTTTGCCGGTGCCGGCAAAATAGAAAATGTGCTATTTTGCCGGCTCTGATAGTATATTTGTATAGCAATAGCTATTTTGCCGGCGCCAACAATATAGTGGATTTGTTATTTTGCCGGTTCTTTGTAAAAAGTGAATTCTAATATTTACTTTTGAAAAGTACTACGAAGATGTGCATCGCAAACTTCAAAGAATCAAATTATTACTCATATAGAAAAAAAATAACACTAACAATATTTGAGATACACATATTCGTTTATAAACATTTATGAGTTCAAGTGAAAATAGGAATTTGTAAAGACATTAAAGGTAAAAATATGGAGCATTCATTTGTAGCAATGAAATCATAATAAAACATGTAGTTGGAATTACTTCAGATTTAACCACTCACAGTCTAATATTGCATTAGATTAAAATCTCAGATTTTTTAACTGTATGGTGTAAAAAAATAAAAAAATGCATGTAAATTTTATAAAACATTACACAATCTAACAAAACCTATCACAAATCTTCAAAAACAAAAATGTTTAATCACATTTGCTTTTGAAATAATCTCAGTTCTTTGCATATCTACGGGTAATAACGTCGTCATATCGATGAGCGTACAGTGATTTTGTCATAGTTTGGTTAAGTTGGACATGATTGTGTTAAGTGTTTTTAATGACAAACAATGACACAATATAAACAATCGAATTTTTTGCTAAAGGAACTTCTAAACATAAATTAAAGCTGGTAAGTATCTTTGTCTATAGCTAATATGTTAGTACATTAAAATTTGTATCAAATAGTTAATAATTTGATACAGAATAATACGTGCGTATGTTAAACTTAAAAGTTGCTTATTCGTTTCTTATGCATAAAAAATTATTTGTTTGCTGTCTGTTACATCATATATTTCGTTATAATACTAAATTGCCGTCAATTATTATGAAAAATAGCTACATTTACACACAAATTAAGATTACTGAAAATACAGTGTCATGGTTTGGTTCAGTAGTGTCATGCTTTAGTTCATGTTCGACATGGTTCAGTTCTGTGATACCTGTCGTGTATGATGGAAGAGTAACGTTCAAAATAAACAGACATAATTTATACAACTATTGAAATTCTGTTAAAAAAATATTTTCGCCGATATCTTTTTTCTCTCGCGTTTAAACCATTCTATCATATTTCGAGGCAATATATTGTCGCCATTTTCTTATGTTGTTGTTTTGTTAACATACGAATAGATTTAAGCTTCACATATTAACGTTGATCTTCTACTCGCGAAAATACATTGCTCGAGAAAATAAGTCGTCTACAGTAAATTTAAGATATTATCATTATAGTTATAATTATAGAACACGTATGTATAAAGAAATCACGAGGATAATACATTAATGCATTTCAAAGGCAATTTTGCGTAAAAGTTTATTTTGAATACAAAAGGACCTAAGAAAGCACATAGTAATATATAATAAGTAGACCCGGTACGATTGCCAATGAGACAACTATCCACCCGAGACCAAATGACGTAGATGGTAGCAACTATAGGTCGTCGTACGGCCTTCAGCAATAAACAAACTACATACCTCTTAGAAAGCTATAAAAGACGCCGACAAATTAAATGTAAAGAAATTCGAAACAATAAGCGAAAAACAAATATGATATACAGTCACAAACGACAGCCACTGCATTACAGACTCTAGACTTTGGGACAGACACATACATAATATGGCGGGGTTAAACATGTTTGCGGGCTCCAAACCCTCTTCTCGCATTAAGCTGGGCAGTGGTGTAACAGCACAACAAAAAAGAACAAACTATAACCAAAAAAGAAATTGACTCATCAGATCGATACAAAGCAAAATAATCAAGTAACATAAACACCAAAGACACAAAGAACCGATCTGTGAGTACTCGCATTTACTGGAAGCTTGTTCCAAGCCAATAACAACTAAGAAAAAAATCATGAATTCATGACAAAAAAGTTACTTTTTTTTAATTTCAGAATGGAATTCTGCTGCCAATATTCATCTTCATCCATCTTATTCTCGGCTATTAAGAACGATGATTTCTTGCCTATCGGGTCAAAAATAAGGTCGTACACAGTTTAATAAATGTACTTGTACCAAACAAAATAACACTTGTATCTTTATATTATTTTTTTTCAATCACATTAAATATGTACATTTTCTCATTCTAAATACTAGATCGACAGAGTTTTTTTCTGATCTTATCGAAACGTTATTGCATAAAAGAAAAGAAGCTTAACGGGTTAAGTGATACTTCACAATACATTTATACAATATGACAAAAACAAAATCAGTTTTATTTATTCGTAAAAATAATTGATAAAAATTGATATTATATCGACCTAACTCTAATTCGAAACTGTGGTCTTTCATATATTTAAACTTGGAACTTTGTAAGTAGTTTTCATAGTAATTTCATTTATAGTTTATCAAAAAATGAGTTTTAGCTGTTGTCCATGTTAACATTTTGTCTCGTAGAGTGTTGAAGACTGCATGGTGCCCTCTCGATATCGTTTGGTTAGTTTTGTAGTTGGGTTACTGTATCATGGGCGTATGACCCCCACATCTCCTTTTATTTATCATAGACATAATCTAGTACAAAATAAAAACAACAGATGTATAGTAGCTAGAAAAAAAATGTAAAACAAAAATTATTTTTTGACTAGCTGCTACGTTTTTGCAACATTAGGTAGACGTCTCTAACCATTTGACTAGTCAGGACACCGCTCACGCCGATGATATCACCGGCAGAGTCCATCATGGACATACGGAGAAAAAGAGTCTAGGTTAAACAGAAGCAACGCTTTCTGTTTTTGTAATTTATTTGATCGAATGCCATTTAAAAGAGCAGTGGCTATATCAATTCTATCTTAGGAAACACCCGAAAAGTAAAAATGTATACTGAACGGTTTGCCGATTACGCCTATCAAATTTGGTCAAAAAGGCCTTTTACTTACTAGTCAATTGGTAAATTGTGTAACTTCGTTTTTTCACAAGCTCCTTCAAACAAACTATCAATATTAAAAGGTGAAACAAATATGTTTTAATTTGGATCCAAACCATGACAAATATGATCAAAACCATGACGAATTTGTAGACACTGAACCATGTCAATCGCTTAAATCCAAACCATATCAATTTCGATATTTTGGTTATCCTGCGTTAATTTCTTAAAAACAACAATTTCATGTAGATCGTTTGACTTACATTATAGATTCAAACATCTTATTTGCTCATTTGAAAAGATCTGAGGCAATCGCTCTGGGAAGTAACATAAATAAACCATGACCAACTTAACCAAACTATGACAAAATCACTCCCAGAAATCACTGTACTAAACGCTACTCGATGTGACGATCGACGTTACTATCCGTGATATCTGTAAACACAATCTTTTTACTGGCAAAATTGTCTTCCGCTTACCTAGAGCCGGCAAAATACATGTAGTCATTGCTATAGAAATATGCTATTTTGACGGCTTAAATTAAGATATATATCATCGGTTTAAATATTCAATTCCTTGATCCATGCTAATATCATTATTTTTTAACACAAGTAAATGGGTCAACATTGTAAAAGACTGGTTAAATAAATTAGGTTTTAGCCATCTTACTTTTGATACTATTAATTTAAAATATTACATAAATACTATCCAACAAAGAATCTTTGACCAGGCATATCAAATTATGAATTGTTCTATCCATAAATATGAAAAATTAAATTTCTTTTGTAAGACCAAAAAAATTGGAAAACGGCCCCCGTATATTGATATATGTAAATTCAAAACTGACAGATCAGTTTTTAGTAAATTTAAACTCAGTGCCCATTCCCTAGCAATTGAAAAGGGGCGTTACACCAACATCGAAAGAAGTAAACGCATTTGCTAATCCTGTAATAGACAAGAAATTGAGGATGAATACCATGTCTTCTCAGTCTGTCCATGCTATATATCACTGAGGGATACCTATATACAAAATATTAATAAAAATCTTAATTTCAATTTTATTAAATTGCAGTCGGCTATAACACTGAGGCATATGACCGCACTTTTAAATAGCAGTCTGCCAGTCATTATAAAAATCACCGTAAAGTATATTAATGATTGTTTTTTTTTACTGAGAACATCTGTATAACTTATATTTCTTTTAATATGTATCCTAATTTTTGTTTTTGTTTTTTGTACATGAACATTAATTATATGTTAACTGTCGATACACACATATTTATAGTCTTTTATCCCCCCTGTGAATACCACTGTCACTCTAATATAATTATAGTCAATTTATTGTCAGTTTATACACCTTATCGCTATTTAGTCCAATCCGGAAAAAACAGTCATTTAGACAACTTCCTGTTTGGGTCAACAGGCCGCAAACAAAGGTCATCAGTAACGAGCTGAGGGAGGGAAAAATTTAGAAAGCGATTATAGGAAACTTTGATAGATTATGATCCACTTTTTCCAAACTTCAAACACAATATTTTTTTGACTATAATTTGAGTACGCCATAAGATTTAAATGTGTTTGTGCTAATAAATATTGTCTATTGTCATAAAAAAAAGTAGATTTGATAATTTTAAGTTCGGCTTTGCTCTATCTTACAATATGATTACGGACTTCTTATGATCGATATATATGTTATTATTGCATTCATCAGTTTGTCACGGGATTTTTTTTTTTATTTACCGCAAAATCGCCTCCCTTTATAAATTTTGTGGGGAAAACTGGTACTTAAACTTACCTTCTATTTATCGTTGACTTTTCATGAAGAACCAGAAAAAGCAAGATGACCTGACAGGTGAAAGATCGGAAAGGTTATAATAACAACGAACAGCTGAGCCTGAGTGAAGTTAGGCCCATGACATAATTTTGCAGAAGAAGTTAGTCAGGGTGCAGATTTCATGGAACAGACCAACAAAGAATAAAGAATAATAAATATCTAGGTCTAGTATGAACTTTTGACAGATTTGCATGTTTGCATGATTGAATACATGGTTCAAACCATATCAATGTTCAGCTGTTTAACAGGTTGGGAACAAACCCTCTACATGGTGTTTTTACCTGTATAGAGGGATAATCCTTCTATAGAGGGATAAAATTATCCATCTATCGAGGGGTATTTTTGTTTAGACTGGATTTAAAGCAAAATAGGGCAGATTGGCATTTTCTAGTTATATTAGCTATAATCTATAGCATTGTATGCTTCAACAGAGACATATAATACAAGAGATTCGCAACTCGGCGAAATCCCGTAATAACACGCGGCCACTAGTTAAACCTCGCGAGTTCTCCTTAGGTAATAAAGTCATTAATAAAAGTATTAAAAGTACTCGAAGTAAGGACGAATGTTTAAGCATAACATAAACTGTTTCAGTGTTAAATTTATCATAATTAATTAAATATAATTTGAGTACATATATAATTATTTATTTTAATGTAATTTTGATTTTAGATTTGTATTATTGAAAAAGAGACATAATTTGATATTGTATAAAAAAAAAACTGATATTAAATAATTAACACTTGATAAATTGTGTCAGAGTTCATTTTATTTGATAGTTACATAATGGGTTTCTATTGAATATACACCTGTCTCGGAGACATAATTTCACAGTGTGACATGTATATTAGGTTTGAATTATTCGATGACCAGGTAAATCACGAACATGTTATAAATAATGAGTTTTAATTGACACCTTGTAAACAAGAAGTTGTCACACCACAGGTGTCCACACTCTTTCCAAAAATACAAGTCACAAAATGTATAATTAATTAATATGGAAAAAAACTTAATTTATTTGTTAATTAATTGTTAATCATGATCATGATGATAGGCTTTGTTTTTTATTCTTCATATTTATAAATTATTAAAATTTTATTTATTTTTATATTCCTCATTTATTAGGCTTTCATTGAGTTTTTTTTCTGTAGGATTGTCGGTAAATGTTTGATTTCTAAGTGTTGTTTGACAGTTTTATCATATAGGCTTGCATTGAGTTGTTTTTTTAAATGATTGTCGGTAAATTTATGGTTTCTTCATGTTCGAAGTGTGTATTGAGAATTAATATTTAAGAAAATTACAATTAATTTCTCATTTGAATAAAGCTTCATTCATGTGCACGCAATATGGAAAATTCCGATTTTATTTCGTGGGATGACGATCTTAATTTCGTGGGATGACAATCTTAATTTCGTGGGATGACAATCTTAATAGTTACGACTTAGATATACTCCTAGTTGAATAAACTGATAACGAACTCTTTGTTGATAGTGAAAAGGACGAAAACATAAGCGAGAGACCCACCAACAAAAACAATTGACAATACTGCATACATAGATGGATATGTGTGTCCTCGAAGCAACAAAAAATCTATAAAAAAAACACAGGTCATACATCAAAGCAACACGGAAGACACTATTTAAAAAGTATTTTATAACCTTGTTTCCACGAGACAATCATTTGTAGTGGTTTTTGTCTTTTAATCATTTGTAGCGGTTTTTGTCTTTTTATTCTGGGGTAAAGAGATGGCAATTTAAAAGTAAGATTGTTTATGTGTATACATATACAAATCCTTGGTGTAAATAAAATCTTTTATTATCAAATATATATATATATATATGTATATATATCTTTTGCAGTCACCATTGAAATGTCCTCAATACGATTTTAATTTAAAAATGAATTAGGTTCCTGTTTTGAACGAGAAGCGTAGTCTGAAACGACAACAGATGCATATGAAGCTCATTCATAATATAACGACCAGCAGAAGGTTTCCTTTACTAGGAAAATTTTACTCCTTTTGTAAATTTACTGCATTCGTTCATCTTTGGCACCCTAAAAAGAAGAAAAAAACAATGACTTCAGAATAGGAGAAAATAAACAACTTTGCTATAAACAGAATGAAAAATGAATAACAAAATGCAGGCTATAAATTTCATAGTGCACAAAAAAGAAGGACTGATTTAAGGAAATTTGTCCATGAACAATTTCAATATTTAGCCAGTTTAATAAAAAATTTCGGGTATCAATCAGAAAAAATCGCCCCATTGTTGGATCAAATTTTACGAAAATAGTCTTGTTTTCACGAAACAACATTTGGGAGTACTATTGGCCCATAAAATTATATATTTATTAGCATATTTTCAAGTTTTAAGAAAAAAATTGGGAGATCACATGGTTTCTACGGCAATAGGTGAAGTAAAATGGGCCGAGTTTTAACTTTGTTTGTATTTGATTAATCTCATCATTAGAACACATTTTATCAATAACAAATTATTAGAATTAGTTTTTTGTAACTTTTAAATATACTTGCATGCTTTAGCTGTGAAAGGTATCGGCATTATCCATTAGAAAAATCGTGAGGCGTAGAACCTTTTACACAACAATACGGGTTATTACCCATAAATCCATCGGATTAATCGGCTTTCCGGTGGCCACGTCATTTCATTGGCTGTTATATAGACTCTACTAGAGTTGCGAATCTCTTGTATTATATGTCTCTGGCTTCAATAAATGCACTTTATTAAAAATTGGGATACCCAGTTTTTTGCTAAAGTGACAGAACTTGAAATCTATTGTATAGCTATCTGAACATCTGATCAACAAGAAAAAGGGACAGTTGACCTTTAAATTTTATGTTAAATCTAACTATAGAAATTCTGTTCAGTGAGGCATAACTGAGTAGAATTTACCTGATCGTCACAGCTTTCAATTATGATGAACAATAGATTGTATATTCAGTCAGTTTAGCAGTAAACTGGGCATGTACAAATTAAATTAAGTACATCAATTGATGCATACAATGCTATAGATTATAGCCAATATAACTAGAAAATGACAATCTGCCCTTTTTTCTTTAAATCCAGTATAAACAAAAATACCCCTCTATAGAGGGATAATTTGATCCCTCTATAGAAGGATTATCACTCTATACAGGTAAAAACACCATGTAGAAACCTGTTTAAGGATTTTATTTCGCAGTTGATATTAACATTTTATCTTCATACTTTTCTTCTAATTATTTTGGAACAACAAGCTGCTCCTCATAGTCTTGCACCGTGTGACCAGGTTTATATATATATATATATATAGATTCTACCACTGCATCGAGTTTGATACGATATTTATCCACTCGAGACAGTTAAATTTTCAAATTTAAAACGCAAGGCTCGCCGAGCGTTTTAAATATTTAAAATTTAACTGTCGAGAGTGGATAAATATCGTATTACACGAGATTTGGTGGTGGAATCTGTTTCTCTAATGATTTTCAAACAATACGCAGGCAAACTTATTCCTTCTTTTCGAATGATCTGCAAAAAGATGTGTTCTATCTATGTGACGTCATCAGGCATGGTCGCCTTTTTTCATGCCGTCACAATAGGAAATTCAGAGGAAAGCAAGAAAATTCGACGTCATAATCAGATTTTAACCAATGAAGAACTGAGATCAAACGATTGATGCTCTTACTTATATTTAATCTGCATAGTTCTTTATTTTAGTGACCTAAAATACAGCTGACATGTTACATGTATGTTGTAATTTGATCACCAAAAGTGGTGACTCTAGCTATTATAATAAAAGAGTATAAATTAAAAAAAATCCTATGCTGTATTTGTTGCCATAAAAGACATTAGGATGATACATAATAATATTAGATACATATATTATAGTGTACAGCCTAAGTAAATTACGTAGGCTGTACAATATAATATATGTATCTAGTAACTCTCTTAAATAAAAATTGTTGTTTTTCACAGCCTCTTAATTACTGTAATTAAGAGGCTGTGAAAAACAACAATTTTTATTTAAGAGAGTTACACATGTGTAATGAAATAGAAGTTCATCCATAATGTAAGTTCCAAGTGGAAGAAATATTCTGTAATATTATTTCCACTGGAGCAAATATTACAGTTTCTTTTCCTTAGGCCAAAAAAAATAAATATGTGTGTTTCCGGTATCCCGGCCGACCCTATTTTTTTAAAGCTGATTTGCCGACCCTAGGTAGCAATACACAGTTAGGAGTTTGGTTTCGCATTTTGGCCCTGGTGGATTTTTCAAATATGAAAGTTATTGTGTAATGAAATTCATTTTTAGACAGCTGAGTACTAATTTAGCCTTTAAAGGTGGTTTATAAGAACATCAAGATTATTTTTTACATGTTTTATGGGCTATTTTCTGTTTGACTCTGTGTATTTTCATAGCTAGACCGGTCATCGGTCCAGAAATTAATTTAAAGTTTACAAACACTTTTTTTCTACACGAAGTTTTTGACGCAATTTTACAAAAAAATGAGACGAAAGACATATGATTTTCATTGGATTTATTGAAAGATATATGTAAACAGTTTCAGAAAAGGTACTACTTGAAGTGATTGATATTCTACTTTTGGCCAAATTTTGGGGAAATATGTGACATCTTTTCCCCCCTTTTTATACGACCGCAAAAAATTTTTTGGGATCGTATAATGGTATGATGTCGTCGTCGTCTGCGTCGTTGTCCGAAGACACATTGGTTTCCGGACAATAACTTTAGTTTTAGTGAATGGATCTCTATGAAATTTTTTAAGAAGGTTCAGTACCACAAAAAGAAGGTTGGGATTGATTTTGGGGATGATGGTCCCAACAATTTTGAATTGGGGGTCCAAAAAGGGGCCCAAAACAAGCATTTTTCTAGTTTCAGGATAATAACTTGTGTATAAGTATTTCGATTGCTCTGAAATTGTACCACAATGTTTAATACCACAAGGAGAAGGTTGGGATTCATTTTAGGGGTTATGGGGCCAACAGTTTAGGAATTAGGGGCCAAAAAGGGGCCAAAAACAAGCATTTTTCTAGTTTCCAGACAATAACTTGTGTGTAAGTGTATGGATCTCTCTGACATTGTACCACAAGGTTCCATATAACAAAGGGAAGGCTGGGATTGAGTTTGGGGTTAATTGCCCCA